GTGAACACAGTTCTATGTATTCTATATTTTGCATACTATGCCGCACTAAATCCAGTTAAATGGGACTAATTTTGCTCTCTTTATAATGAAACAGGCAGTTGGTCTGTGTTCTACAAGTACTGACGATATGCATGATATGTTCATATTGTATTGTGGCATAATTTTTCATGATAGCTATATGTATTATATGTATCCAGCCGTGTCTCAGACAAAGTAACATGTTGGCACATCGTCTACTAGGGAGAAAAGATCCCATGTTGAAGATGAAGAGTCGCCATCAGCTATAGTTCAGCTCCTTAGCTCATCTGAAGAGGCAGCCTCGGTTACTCGTCACCAAAAACTACCAAATTCTTTTGGCCACTTTTGCATAATAAATTTTTTTTTTCAAATATATTCCTTTCTGAGGTGCTTAGTTTGCACAAGTCAATTAACACAATGTAAACAGTCATTCAATGATGTGTGATGTGCCATTCTAGAGAAACTCAACGAGTCACAGTTCACAGTGGTGGTCAGTGGAACCGGACGTCTGAACTATTTAGTGTCCGTAAAAGCTTTCTTACCGAAAGTTATTGCATGAAATGGTTACAAATGGTTTGGATTTTTGCAGTTATCTGATTATTCAAATGGTCATGTGAACAGCACACTCTGATTTCTTAGATCAGAGTAAGATCTAGAAATTTTGATTAAGAAATCTAATAAAGAGAGCTGGATTTTAGCTCAGTAATCAGATTTCTCAGTGCTGTAAACTGTTACTCTGATTTCTTTCGTATTTCTCAGTCTGCGCATGTGTGAAAACAGACGGAGGTACCGGAAATAAGCAAACAGCGTCGCCGCAAGACGCAGCAAAACACTTTTGAAACCAAATACATGCTTGACGAAATGAAGGATTTAAGTATTTTTCATCTTTTAGATGATGTCTGTTCATATTTTCAGGTAAAGTGGAGTGATGTTTAAAAAAAAAGAGGTTGCATCATGAAGTTTGAGTTTTACATTGTGTCTTCTTCTGTGAGTTTATTGGCCGGTTGCAAAACAAAAATCTGATTACTGCCTGACTCATGTAGACCTGGAGTTTCCCATCATCTGATTTACTCAAGTGCATGTAAATGCATTGGTTGGATTACTGACAAAATCTGTTTTTCTGCCATTATCGGGTTATTAAGTGCATGTAAACACACTCATTGTTTCATGATAGTGTTATGAAAGTGTTGGTCTGTCCATTTGGGGTGGAGGGTTACATAGCAGAGCATTGTAAGGCAAAATAGTCCCCAAGGAAACATAGTTCTTCAGATTTATCATCATCAACATTACAAATGAAAACGCAGAAGACCTGTAGGCTGTAGACATGGTGACCCTTGGTTCCTATCACCACCACTGTGAGGAAAATCAGGGAATAAGTTTTTTCTACAGTTAACTTCAGCCACTCTCAATGACTTTGTTTACATCTTATCCATTGAATTAGGCAGGAATTTGAAAGCAATGTTGGAATTCCCATTTAATTCTAATTGAATATCAAATTTAGAATATCAAATGTTTGGCTTTGATTTGATTATGATTCCTTCGAAAATGATTCACTTTTGCCATGATTCAATTCAGCTCCATTATAGATTCAATTATCAGTTAAAATATACTGAATACACAAATGTGACTGAAGGAACAGGAGCAAAATTATAAAAACAGTAGCCTCTGTTTGGGTTTCTGCGTTTGAAGATGTCTCGACAGTTTTATTTTGACCAATAATTGAGCACATATTTTATCAAATATTAGTCAATTGAAACATTTCAAGTTGCATTTTTGTACCCTGCCGATAACAAAAAGATAGGTGACTTTTTTAGATGCAGTTGTTGCTTTTGCCTCTTTGTTATGTTCCTCTTTTCCTCCTGTGCTGTTTTCCTCTCCAGCCTGCCGGCTCTTGGTTCATGTACAGCCCATTAATAATTAAGACTGAGCTTGGCGCCCTTTCTGTGGTTCGCAGTGAGGGAGGGAGGTGACGGGAGGACACAGCTGTGGGGGTGGTGGTGGGGGGGTGGTAATAGGAGAGAGAAAGAAGGAGAAAACGAGGGGAAAAGGCGACAGGATCTTTCACACTGGTGGCTTCAGAGCAACTGAGTGCATTTTCAAGATGGACAGCTTGGGGACAGTGTTGACCCCTTCGGATCCATATGCAGGGCTTGAAACTGTGGAAACCAGCAGTGTGTGGTCTAACTGTAAGCGCTACGCAGTATAAGCAGTCGCTTAGGGCTCCTGAATCACCAGGTGGCCCAAAGTATGTATTCACTAAAAATAGTTCAATATCGTTTGTAGTCAAGATTTCCTTATTTTTTCCTAAGTATGAATTATAGAATTATAGAAAAGAATAAAATTGAAGCAAGTGGGGGTGAAAGGATGTTGCTTAAGGCTCCCAATTGTTCAGAAATGCCACTGTGTATACAATCGTAACAGTGTATACTAACATGTAGGTAACTACACAATTATTACATCTTTATTACATAAACATTTTTTCAAATATATTCCTTTGTGTCAATAAACACAATGTAAACAGTCATTCAATGATGTGTGATGTGCCATTCTAGAGAAAACTCACCCAGCCACAGTTCACAGTGGTGGTCAATGAAACCAGACGTCCAAACTATTTAATGCCCATAAAAGCTCCTTCACAGAAAGTTATTGCATGAAATGATACAAATACATTGTCTGATGCCTAAACATTGTTTTATGATAGTTTTTACGAAAGTATCGGCCTGTCCATTTGGGGTGGAGGGTTACATTCAGGACATTGTAAGGCAAAATAGTCCCCAAAGAAATGTAGTTCTGCTGATTTACCATCATCAACATTACATATAAAAACTCAGAAGACACGTGTAAGTTGTAGACATGGTGACCCCTGGTTTCTATCACCACCACTGTAAGGAATACACTGTCTATACAATCGTTACAAGTCTAAAGTTATTACTGTCATTTTGTTACATTATAGGTAATTATATAATCATTACATCATTATTACATAGTTATAGAAGGAATTAAATATACGTTCTCCATTAACAAGTTCAAGTCTGCACTTCTGACTACTTTTGGTTCTAAGAAAGCACAAAAACATGGCAATAATATAAAGGATGTTTTTTGTTTACTCAAAACAAGGCTGTATACACAACAATGACCTTATTAAATTCAAATTATCATAACTCCTCATCTAACTCCACAAACACAAATATGATATGATTCAAAAGTTTAGAATCTGTTTGAATACTGTTCCTTTAAAAATGCACATGATCCAGTAGGACAACTGAGTAAAATGTCCATCCCTTTGATTGTTGACTTTGTCGCTGATGGACACTGGCAGGTGTTTTTCTATATGGCTGCTGTTTGTGCTGTAAAATGTTCCAGACTCTGGAACTCAGGCTCTGTTAACCACTGTAAAGGTAACTGACCGTGTGGTGTGGAACACCTCGGTCAGACTAAAGCCCCTCATTGTTCTTGTCCATCGTCCACAGTGTGTCCACAGCTCGGGGTGAAATGTCAGTCCTCCTGCATTCCTGCGAGCTGACAGAGCGGAGGTGAACGTGCGGTTTGTGGGTTGATAAGGCCGTGGCCTTTGGCTCTCGTTACTGACTGCTGTATTCTACCTGTTTGTCAGGTGTCAGGGATGAACTGTACCAGAGTTCATAACACAGAGGAGGACAGAACGTACAGTACAGATCTTCTGTACAGACGGCCAGCTGAGGCCTGTTTACGTACAAGTTTGCTGCAAATGTAATTAAAGTGTGCTTTTGTTGAATATTTACACCATTACATCCAAACAATAATAACAATTATTATTATTATTATTTATTATTATTATTATTATCATCATCATCGTCATCATTGCAATACAGTAATGACATTATTACTAATAAATCTTATTTATTAATTAGTTATTACATTACTATTACAATCACTTAGTAATAATGATATCTTATATTAATGGTAATATAACAATAATATTAATAGTAGCCTAATATTTATCATCGTCAGTAGTAGTAGTAGAAGTATTGTATTAACATATAACAATATAATAATAGCATAACAACAATAATAATAATAATGATAATAATAATAATAATAATAATACTTCGCATATCGCATTATTGTGATGGTGTTGAAATAATAGATAAAAGAACAATAAAAACTGTAATAATAACAATGGCAACCTAACAGTAAATAATATTTTTAAATGAAAATGATTGTGATTATGATAGTTGTTGCATTTTGTTGTGGTAATTAAGGTAGGACTAATTGTAATAATAGTAATAATATTTTATGCTACAATAACTAAACAACAAGTTATGATCATGTTATTATATACACACCATGTATTATTATTATTATTATTATTATGTTAGAATGCTGTGATAGCCGCTGGTGTGCATTGTAGACTCTAATATGGTCTCGTATCTGTGTGTGTTTATGAAGGCACTACTAGGATGTTTTTGAGGCGTAATAATAATTGTTTTTGCCCAGTTTTGAACAGATTCTTGAGGTTTCTTATTGCGTGCTCTATAACCTCTCCTCCAGGAACAATTTATACGCCAGCTCAGTTTGTCTTTTTTTTAAGTGAAATAAAAATATGTTGTGCTTGTTTGTCTTGTTTATCTTGTAACTGTTCTGGTTGTTTATCCTCTTGTGAATTTCTCTTTTTCTGACTGCCACCGAAACTACACTAACACTTAAACAGGCTTGTCTAAGGACATTTGTGACTGAATCAGCTCCTGTTGGCCTCACACTCGTTGCTCTGGATGAAAGTGCTTTGAGTTTACCTGGCTTACCTGAATGTGTACTGTATTTACTTTGCGTAAACAGTTATATGGATCTCAGTTTATGTGATTTGGGTGATAACAGCACTAATGGAATACACTGTATTGATGTGAAAATGACTGAATGAAATATAAACAGTATTTTCAGTGTAGAGGAGGTAATGAGACTGATGTCCCTCTCTCTCTCTCTCTCTCTCTCTCTCTCTCTCTCAGCACTGCCAGTAACTCGAACCGGAGCACACCCACTTGCTCGCCCGTCCTCCGCAAACGCTCTCGCTCGCCCACCCCCCAGAGCCCTGAGGGAGAGAACATGGTGGAGAAGGGCTCCGATCACTCCTCTGATAAATCCCCCTCCACCCCTGAGCAGGCCGTCCAGCGCACCTACAGCCAGTCCGTCCACACCAGCACGCGCAGCGGCGGCAAGAACTCCAAGGTGGGCATCACCACAGTGCACACACACACACACACTCATTCACACACACTGACTACTGTTCTAAAGTCTGGAATCACTTTTTATATTCACATTTCTGTTATTTTTATAAATAATAATATATAATAACATACAGTTGTATGCAAAGGGTTTGTACACCCCTGGTTAAATGACATGTGTTGATTTTTTTGCAAATCATCGCTGTCCATAGAAAAACAACGTTCTCCAAAACGGCAGCTTTACAGCAGAGGGCAAAACTTTTTTGACTTTTAATACGTTAATGTAAATAGATTGTATTACAAGCTATTTTGGATCACTTCTGTTGGTTCAGTCATTGTGAAATATTTACAATATGAATTTGTACAAATTTTTACAAATTTCGAAAAAAAAACATGAAATATAAAATGTGCCATAACTTTTGCAAAAAATACATTTTGTTTTTATGTTTTATTTTTTTCCCAAACTGTTACATTCAGTAAGTAAACAATAATTGCGCACTGAAATGTGCAGAAGTGTGTTCTATGGATGTGAAAATCAACGAAACATGTCATTTGACCAGGGGTGCCAAAACTTTTGCACACGATTGTAACTGTCAGAATATTCAGTATTTAAAACCCTTACCGGAACTTTACGTCAAGGACAATTTCCTTTTGTGCCGCAGGGGGGCGCCAGACCCCCCAGACCTTTTCAAAAACCCATCAAAAAAAAAGGCGAGTTTTCAGTTGTTAACTTTAGCAGAATGGGCCGTTTAAAGTGATGTCGCTGATACTACATGATGGATCTGTATTGTCTTCCTCTTCATCTTCTTTGCACGAGTGTTTAATAGAAAAGTGCATCGGGGCGAAAGTTTCAGTGCGTTAAATGTTGCCGCCACTTTTTTCCTCCATAGAAATCTATGTGAAAAGACCTCACGACAACAAAATATTAAAAAGCAGCATTAAGAATTAATCATACTGTTCCCGATGGCGTTTTCTCCATGTGAACCACTTGCAGAACAACTGTTTCTCGTGTGTAAGTGAAACCAAGACTGGAGTTTCGGATCATTGATCCGTTATAATAAGGAAAGACGGTTTCATTGCTGTAATCTATAATCACCAATAACATCAATTGATTCCAGACTTTTTGAACAGTATCTATTAGCATCTACTTATATGCAGTGTTATTATATCTTGGCTGCCTCAAGGAGCAACATTAATGAAATGTAAATGTAATGCATTAAACTATCAGCCTGGACTGACTTATAGTGCTGTGAAAAAGTATTTGCTCCCAATTTCTTCTATTTTTTGCATATTTGTCACGCTTGAATGTTTCAGATCATCAAACTGCTTTTGATGTTAGACAGAGGTAACCCAAGTAAACACCAAATGCTGTTTTTTAAAGATTTCATTTATTGAAGGAAAAACATTGTTCAGCCCTACCTGGCCCTGTGTGAAAAAGTAATTGCCCGTTTAGCTACTAAAACAACTAGTTGACCAAATACATTGGACTATTGGGTTTAGTTTTACTATCCACAGCAAGGCATGATGACTGCCAGATGTGTTATGTCTGAACATCGCTGAAACAGAACCTGTCTGGCATTGTGAAGGAGGCTAAAAGGTCTCAAATAGCAGCACATAGTGCCACGTTGTAAAGAGATTCAGATGCAAAATAAAGTCACTGAAATCTACCAGTCTGGAAAGGGTTACAAAGCCATTGCTAAGGCTCTGGGACTCCAGAGATCCACAGTGAGAGCCAGTATCCACAAATTGAGAAAACTTGGAACAGTGGTGAACCTTCCCAGGAGAGGCTGGCTACCAAAATTTCACCAAGAGGGCATCGACGACTCATCCAGGAGGTCACAAAAGAACCCAGACAAACATCTAAAGAACTAGAGGCCTCACTTGCCTCAGTTAATATCAATGTATACGATTCCACAATAAGAGACACAGCGCTTGTCTTGCATTCGCCTAAAAATATCTAGTTTACCCCCAGGACTTTTAGGATAATATTCTGTGGACTGATGAGTCAAAGGTGAAACTCTTTGGAAGACATGGGTCTCATTACATCTGGCGTAAAGCTAACACCGCATTCCATCATAAGAACATCATACCAACAGTCAAACATGGTGGTAGTGGTGCGATGGTCTGGGGCTGTTTTGCGTCTGCAGGACCTCGACGACTCGCCATAACTGATGGAGCCATAAATTCTGTTCTCTACCATAAAATCCTAAAGGAGAATGTCCTGTCAGTTTGTGACCTAAAGCTCAAGCGTAGTTGGTTCGTGCAGCAGGACAATGATCTGAAGCACACAAGCAAGTCCACCTCAAAAGAAAAACAAAATTAAGGTGTTGGAGTGACCGAGTCAAAGTCCTGACTGGAGACCTTAAACACACAGATCATGCCTCGAAACCTTCCAGTGTAGCCGAATTACAACAATTCTGCAAAGATTTGATTGCAGCTGTTACTGTTTGATTGCAGCTGTTACTGCCACGGGTGGCACACCCACTTATTAGGTTTGGGGGGTGGGGGGGGGGTCACATACTTTTTCACATTGTTGATGCAGGTTTTGAATAAATGTGTATTTTCAGTAAATGGAATGATCGTTTGAAAGCTGCCTTTTGTGCTTACTCATGCTGTCTTTATGTTATATTAAAATAAGATGATCTGAAACATTTAAATATGACAAATTAGCAAAAGCAGAAGAAATGAGGTGAGGGGCAAATACTTCTTCACAGCCCTGCACATGACTATATAAGAAAAGAAAATACAGCTAGTAAATGAAATGCAGTAATGTTGTAGTGGTGAACGATGGGTCAAATCAATTTCAATCAATTGTAAAGTTTTTGTGATATTTTCAGAAATATGATTATAGAACTGCTTTTTATTAGTTAGATGGGAAATTTCTGCAGTTGGGAATCCCCGTAAACAGCTTCCTGACAGGCTTTAAAGCTGAACATGTGTGTGCTGTAGTTCCCCTGGGTAGATTTCCGTGTTCCATATGACTCTGAGAGCATGACCATTTCCACCATCATCAGCACCCCATGCACAATAAACAAGACTGTCTCTCATACATTCCCCCCATCTCTCTCTTTCTCTCCCTATCTCTCTCTCTCTCTCTACCTCTCTCTCTCTCTACCTCTCTACCTCTCTTTCTCCCTATCTCTCTCTTTCTCTCTTTCTCTCTCACTCTCTCTCTCTCTCTCTCTCTCTACCTCTCTCTCTCTATCTCTCTCTTTCTCTCCCTATCTCTCTCTCTCTGTCTCTCTGTCTCTCTCTCTCTACCTCTCTACCTCTCTCACTCTCCCTATCTCTCTCTACCTCTATCTCTCCCTATCTCTCTCTCTCTCTCTATCTCTCCCTATCTCTCTCTCTCTCTCTCTCTCACTCACTCTCTCTCTCTCTCTCTCTCTCTCTCTCTGTCTCTCTCTCTCTCACTCACTCTCTCTCTCTCTCTCTCTCTCTCTCTCTCTCTCTGAACTCGAATGTCTTTGTCACTGAAACTGTTTCAGCTCATTCAGCGTTTCTGTTCCTTATGCACTGTATTTGAATTTTGTTTTGTTCTGTTTCCTGATTTTCTTTGTTCTTCTTCTCATGCATGCTAGTCACACAAGAGACTTTCCAAAGTAAGCATCACACTTTTCTGGTCTTTTCTATCGCTGTGAGTGCGTGTCTTTATGCGCCGTGTGACTGATGGTCGTCCCCTGCATCCTGACCCAGTCAGCGCTGGGCTTCCCCTGTACATTCTTCCTCCACTAACCCCAAGACCTTCAGCACTACTCTGTCACAATAGGGCTGTCGCTGTTAGATAGATCATTAGTTGAGTAATCATTGCCAGGTTTGGTACAAAATAAAGCCGGCTAATCAGTATGTGAATGGAAAGCACTCCTTATAGGAGTGATGAACCTGGGACTTCCTATCTTTTTGTCTTAACATAAGATCTGACAGGTCAAGATATGATTTTTTCAGAAATTCGTTTAACAGAAGAAAATCTTATTTTAATTTAGGAATCTTATCTTGCAGCATCTTGGCTCAGGATAATTAGGGAATCTGAACCTACTCAACCGACCATACTCGCACAGCTAAAACATATCAAAGTAATCAAGTTAGTTAGCCAGACAGCTATCGATTATCAATGTTAAAAAAAAAAACTAAAGCACGACAAAATGAAAGTTCTGTGAGAGCGCCCCCTCCTGTTTATCAGAGCATCGCAGCTCCACAGTTTCAGTTTCCCAACCGCTTTAGCCGAGCACGCTAACGTTATTCCTCCTAATAAACAGACACACGTTCAGCTCCGTCTCCTCATTATTCACCACCATCACTGTAATATTTTATCATCAACATTAACATACGAAGGTAATGAGAGGGGCGGTGGAGATCGAGTCTGCAGAGTCTGGGGTTTTTAAAATGCTGTTAGAAAAAGCAGTCATAAGTCAAATCAGCGTTTTCAGTGTAGATGTAGCATCATTATGCCAGTTATAGTGAACTGTGCTGCTGACATGTGTAAAACAATAGAAACAGATGGTTAAAACAGAGGTTAAGACGCTCTGGAGTTTTCGTGAAGTTAGGACCATTTTTAGGAGATTTTGTCTAGTTAGGATGTTTCTGTAATACTGTTTTCTTATCCGATAAGATTCTGAACTTAAGAACAGTTGTTTTGTAATAGCTTCTGTCCCAAATTCAGTCCTAACTAAAGTTGTCACGGTGACTAAACAGATTCAAAACCATCTGGGTGGGTAAGATGGTTCTCCCACCCACGATCGCTCGTCACAATGCTAGCCAACACAGGCATCTGTTAGCTGGTGTAACTCGTATTTTGACTCATAATTTTCGACTTCATGTAAATACACCAATCAGGCATAACATTATGACCACCTCCTTGTTTCTATGCTCATTGTCCATTTTATCAGCTCCACTTACTATATAGGTGCACTTTGTAGTTCTACAGTTACAGACTGTAGTCCATCTGCTTCTCTGCATACTTTGTTAGCCCCCTTTTACCCTGTTCTTCAGTGGTCAGGACCCCCA